ATCACTGGGGCCTTTATCTACAGATGGATCCCCATTTCAACCATTCATTTAGACCATTCGTTGTTTAAAAGGGGAGGTGAAACTGAATCATGCCTAACTTTGATTTTATAATCATGTCCTTAGTATATCACCATTAATGCTAAGCCACTGTATATGATTATAATATTTTTCTTTGGCTTCAAAGGTGCATAGCAAAAGTGATTATTGTAGTTCGGTGTTTTCAGTATTTTTGAACAATTTATTCTATATGGTTTTTTTCTGACGTGTTGCCAGAAAAATGGAGGACGAGCTCTGGAACAACATGGCGGAAGTCGAAACCTTCATTTGGATTTAGTGTCTCCTGCAAAGTGAATCCTCATATCTCAATGATGAATGCAAAAGATAATTATTCGGTACACCATACATACATTTCAATATTTGGTCTCATGACTATTTATCTAATTTTTTAACAAGGAAAACGCATAGTCTACAAAAGCCATCATTGGTTAATGACATAATATTCCCGCACAGAACTGTGATATAAGATTCGGTAGGTCTATACCATGTAGTTCGCCATTATTTAAGAATCTATATATATATTGTTACTGTGGTGGAAACTGGTCAATCTGAATTTTATGGATTTAAGTGTTTATGGGATCATACAATTAAATAAGTAGTTTGTTTTAATGGCTGTGCAGGGTCATGGAGCTCAACTCTTGATGGCATCTCTCTTGTCATATTCTTTTGTTAGATTGATGCAATTATACAGCAATAATACAGCTACAGGATTAGTTCGACTGTCACTCTACAATGCAGTTCAAACATTTTGGTCCTCAAATCCGCCGTTTGCATGCTTGTCTAATCCCGTGAATAAGCCAACACCACTCCAGCTTGATGTTTCTTTGCCTTCATTTCAAGATATCAGATGGAATGTCTCTCGTCTTGTTTATTTATTCAACATCCAACTGGAGAGAAATGTTGCCACGTAAGAGTAAAAATTGCCTTATTTTATAATTTGATTATCATCAGATGATCCTTTATGTGTTGGCTGGAATTGATGCCAGTTTCTACATGGTTTGTGTTTTAATTCTCGAACTATTGCATAGCTTTATTTTAATTGTCGAACGTGTTGATTATTTGACGTCTGAGCATTATGTAGAAGTTCAAACATGGAGTACGAGGTTCTGATGCAATCTTGAAATCAAAGAGTTTCCCTTTTTTTT